TATCTCTGTGTGTATGTTTTATTTTCCCTGAAGTCGATATATGTATATATGGAATTAATCAAAAAGTGACACACTTATTGAAGCTTTTCTTACATTGTTTACTGACTAAATATTTACCCTTTTTATACATATATATTTAATATCAGGCTGTCCAGAAATAATTTTTGTTTCCTTTACTTGTTCTCTACCAACATTTTTACATGTCGACCTTGATTTATTTATTTACTTGTTTATCGACAAATGCCTAAGATTAAATCAGCAATTATAACTTCTGTAATGAATGATGATGCTGAAGAGGAAGAGTAGGTAGAGGAGGTGGAAAATTAAGTTGACGATAAAATCGTTTTTTTTATGATGATAATTTTGATTTCTTTTCATTCAGTCCACATAACCCTAAGATGACTAAATGAGTCAGTAGGTTTTGTAATCATATAGTAATTATTTATTTTGTTAATATTTCGCGTATATATATATATATATATATATATTTGAATTAATTTAAGGCATTTAACTTGTGGTCAATGTGTTTGAATCTTACCCCATTTACTGAAGATGAAACAGTTAGTGATTAACATAGATCTCCCTGTAAACTGTATAATTAATTGTAAATTGTTGTCCAGTTCATTCCTCCGTAATTCATATGCAGTTTTTAGAGAGTTGAGTTTTATTTGTTAGTTCACAGATATGTATTGCAGTCATTTCAAAATTGAATATTTCATCGGTATAGTCTTTTTTTACGAAAAATATACTAAAAGTAAAATGACTTACGGTATTTGAGTATTGTTTGGAGAGAAATATGAGTGTTCATTACATTAACCTCTTACTTTACAGCCGTACACTCTTTTGTATAACTTGTAGAAATCATCAAAGAGTATTCGTAAATCCACTTCCATGTAGGATTTATTGAACAACATTTTAGGCCATAAGCGTCTCAACCATTTTTGCCGTTTCGCTGTTAACGCAGGTTATTTCAAGGTCAACAATCTGCTGATGCTTATTTTCTTTTCTCTGTTTAGGTTATAACAAGACTAGCAGGAATGGAGACTGAATCATTAAAATTGAGTACAAAACAAGAACAAGCAGAATTATTAAATCGGGTATTAGCTAGTACAGATGAAGATGCTATGGAAGAGAAATTACCAACTGATCCGGATAGTTTTAATTATACGAACATTTCTACAGGCATATCTGGTTTGATTCGTAAATCTAGTAAAATGTCCAGTTTATCTGGTGCAGATGACGCTATTTATGTTGATACTAGCTCGTCTGCTGCAAGAAAAGACAAACTGAAAGAAAGACATCCACTATTTCGTTTATTCAGAAGATAGATATTTTGTTTTGTATTGATGCTAACTATGGTTTAGTCTTTCATTTTACAAGTTGATTGTTGAAAAGATATTTCAATAATAGATTATTGTATTTTACTTCCCGAGCCTGATTATAACATCATATTGGTTATCATTTTTCAAACGCTTTTCCTCGTTTAACTTTTTAAGGCGTTTACATTAACCATCATGTTTTTATCTATTAAGTTGTATTTATTACTTGGCTGACATTGTAGTGGAGGTCAGACTTATTGAGTTTATGTTTCGTATAGAAAGGTGATGTATTTACTTGTTTTTTTTTCACCTTAGACCGACACGAAATGAATTTTTACTATTGCGCCTATTTGTTTTAACTAAGTATGTGGGTAACGTTGTAATCAACTTCATAGCTGGGAAATCTCTTAACGTTTTCTGCTTTTTAGTCTAACAGTAACCATACTCTTCACATGTTAAGAATATTTATTCACCTAAAAAGTGGGTTTCTGTTTAAAAGGGGTGATACTCATATGGAAAAACGCATTTGATTTGAACACGATTATTTTCGACAGTAGGTAGTCTCATTAATAGTTGAATCAATTATTCCATTAGTGGATATGAACCACAAAGGGACAACTCAGTCCATACAGGAAATACGTGAAGGCAGGCTTTTATCGCATTCACTAGCATTCTGTTTGTTTTCAAGGAGATTCTCATTTTTCTGCGTTACTTCGACTCTAAGTACCACAACTGCTAACGACGCGTTTATATTTTATTACGTTACGACACTACTATTCTTATCATCGTACTGCTTGTTGATATATTTTCCATTTATTTCCGCCTAACCACATGTTGCAGGCACTCTACATTGATGCCGATCTTTTAGTCCTAATCGGCACAAATGCTTAAATTTAGTCGGTCAGGCAGATTGTTTTGATGATAGTTACAACCCTTGTAACTATGAATTCTTAGAAGTTAGCGCTTATCGAGCCACGCGCCAGGTGTATTTTCTCGTTCCTGGTAGCCATAAACTCTAGTGATTGGAAGACTTGCACAAATACTGTGTCCGTGATTCAACACAAAATACAGTGAACTCAAAATCCGTATCATGAAAGCTAGGTCAGGCTGTTACAGTAGCACCGTCAGTCTTAAAAAGCTCCTGTAGCCAAACTTGTCATTCAAAAATTTGTCTATGACTGGATTTAGAGCTGCCTGAAGAACAACGCTTGAACTAAGCGGAACAAGCTGAACTTTCGTTAAAACCCACCACATACGAAAAACAAAATCTAAATTAAAACAGATTTGTTCCGTAGAAACCGCTTTAATGTGAAATTATGGAAATGTCTAGTGGTTGATGAATCTGAGACTTTCATTCGCCCGCATATATACTGGCAGTAAGTTCTGCGTTGTAAATAGTGTGATATCGTGATAATAAAGATTCCGATTTTTTAGACTGAAGTTCATCAATCGATCTTGAAAATGCGAACACTTTTCGATTTGATAGTAGTGCATAATCGTTAGAAAATTTTGTACGGCGAAGAAAGTAATCAATCTGCCATGGGTTATTTTTGACGTGCACAAACTCTCCCAAGAATGAAGTCAATTATTTTTAGACATATCTGTCGCATAATGAGACCCCCAATGAGGTAGAGAGGCGTATCCAAATTGCCATGTTTCAACACTATTATGACATGTATACACATATTGTCAAGGAAGGATATTCTGAGTTTTTCATTTTTGTCTGAATTTTTCGAAATAGACAACTTGGGAATCTAAATCACTTTCTTCTTTTCATAAAAGGATACAGAGACCAAATGTATATCGTCTTAGTGCTGGAAAACTGCACAACATGACAAGTACGTATTAATGAGGTTCGAAAAAACATCAAACGACGGCAATGCTCGCATAACTCATAAAGATACACTGATGTTCTTAGTTTCAAAACTAACACCGATAAAATGTAGATAACTCGTTACTGTTAGCAACAAAGTTCCTGAAGCAAGTACAGAATACATAAAGAACTGAAAAAGCCCTAAATTTCACATTAGTCCATCAAAAGACTGACAAGTTACCTGGATTTTATATTGTTTTCAACAAATCTCTCCATTTTGAACGTTACAATATTTTGACAAAACTTCTTGAAACCTTATGAACCACTTAAAGAATTTACTGTGGCAAGAGGTTTCACTTTCAAGATGACCCACAGAATGGTGTTGAGCTTCAGTTCCATGTTTCTGGAGAGTGGATTTTTTAACCTGTGAGCCAACTCAAGATTACCTAACAACCAATACGTAGTTTTAATGCTTCAGCAGCTGAGAAAGCCACAGTTTATTTCGTAGACTATCCACAGGGTAGGTTAGACACTATTTCCTGGTTAGAGCAATTGTTTATAAATTCTTGTAATTTTTGATGATGCTTGTGGTAGTTCTTAAAGTTTCAGCTTCGTACAGTAATTCCTTGAAGCATTCCACACATCTCTTCTTCTATTCTTGAATTTCAGTGATTGGCTTTCCTTCTCTGTCCTTGACCGGTCTCTCTGGTTTAGCAAATTTCCCAGTGAGTTTCTTCGTTGTGTCATATAGTTGTTTCGTACTCGTACTCTCACACCTCTTTCCGCCGTCTATGCTAGTTATTTCGAGTGTTTCTGCCTGTCAATCCTAATGCTTCCTTTACTTGCTTGTTTGCTTTCGTGTTTTCAGTTTGTGCCTTGGCTTTCTCTGCAATTGTTCAGCTTGTAGTGACCTACTTTTGTTAACAGAACGCGATTGGTTCAATTAAAACAATTATTGTTATAACCAATTGTACCAGTGATTGTTTTACTGTGCTCGTTTGTTTAACTGTGCTAATGACAGCCAATATACTTACTCTCCCGTTGACTTTGAACTTGTACGAATTCGGTTACGCTCAGTAACCACACTTCTACTCCTTTGGCACGATCTCGGTATTCTTTCGATACCACGAGATCGCCAACAAATACATCTCGACTACAGCCATCATCTGCCTTCTGATTTTCGGCCTACCGGAATCTTATTTGTCTATTGGCACGTAGTCTGATAGCGGTGTTCATAGTCAAGCTCAACTCGACACCACGCTACAAGCTTTTGTTACTTACTGTCTTCCTGTTCTCCCTTTCTTGAATCTTGTTCAGGGTTTCTATAGAGATCCATTCCTTATGATGATGCTTCTTGCGGCCCAGAACCGCTTGACACGTTGAGGTTGTTGTTTCTTTGATCCCTTTCCAGTTTTCCTCCATAGTAGTTTCTTCTTCAGTGGGTCCTGTAAGGCTTGGAACCTGTTGTAAAGAGTTATCTTGAATTCGTTCAGTTTGTCAGTATCTCGAAAGAAGACTGCACTGAACGTTTGTAATGCTGCTTGTCTAGTTTTTCAATGCTTCTCTAGCGTCAGTTTCATCTTGGCCACAATTAGGTGGTGATCTGAGGCTATGTCAGCTCCTCTTCTGATTCTTACGTCTTCCATTGACCTTGTGATTTTTTTTCTTTTGAATGAGCGGATATCATTGGAACCAAGAAAATAGATTTGCTAAACCATGATTTATAAATTGCACAAACTAAATGTTTTTATGACAATGCGAATGTCGAAAAATTAGTCACTTTGTTTTATTAACCCATATATTAATTGCACGAATAGCTGTATCAATAACAAGGTCGAATGTTGACGCGCTAATATCAACTCTCGAGAATGACTAGGTCAGTTTCTCCAAAAGTTAGGGCTCTTGTCGATCGTATCATTAGAGTTGATCATGCAGGAGAGTTAGGTGCCAACAGAATTTATCAAGGACAGCTTATGGTACTTGGGAAATCAAGTATAGGTCATAAAATAAAGGTAAACATTTAACAAAGTTACAAATCACATGTTTAATTATCGTTATGATTTTAATTTAACTCATATATACTATAAAGTATTGCTAAAAGTCGTAGGGATTCACTAGTACATTGTTATTTTGCCTTTACTATTTCAGTAATTGTGAATTAGGATATATTATTTAATCAGTTATTTTGCGGAATGCACTTTAGAGCAACTCTTTTGATGCATCTACCTAGACGATTATAGGAAGCTAGTGGTTTCGTTACTTTGTAATATCTAGGCATTATTTATGGTTACGAAGATTTTCAAAATCGCTCACAGGAATTCACTACGTTGGACTTTGCAGCGGCAAATAAATCCCCTAAATAGCTCTGTAAGTTTTCGACATTGGATGCTGACCACATCAGTTTTAATGGACTCGTCTAGCTGAAGGCGCTCGGTCAAGCATCCGCACCAGAGCACGCGTGGGAACGCCGTGCTAGCCAGATTAGTTCAAACGATCCTCGATATATTGATAGCTTATCAAATATATCTTCCATCTCCTCGCTTCTGTCTTTTGATTTCACTTGGTGGGTACGCTTCATATTAGAAGGTGTTACTGGTTAAAGCGTTGCCAAACTCCGAATACCTGTGGCGTCTTCATAGGTGAGCCCGACGTGATCTGGTACACGGAAGTGCAAATTGTGAGTCTGTTCCTTTTTGTGATTTTAATTATCATTGTCTTATTTTAATTTTTCACACATTGTGATTTTTTTCCCGTGTTTTTTGGATACATATTTCACACTCGTTCATTTTTCGTACTTGATATATTAATATGACTGAACAGACACCTTAGGTATTTAAGGTAAAGACTGTGTCCTCACCTTCGTTCCAACGTATGCCCTTCTGGCCAGACAACATCGAAGCTTGGTTTTGCTACGCAGAAGCCGACTTCTACGAGCACGGTGTACACGATACACGTGCACGATTCCTCGCAGTAGTCAAGGCACTACCGCGCGGATTCAACAGGTACGTAACACCTAGTATGTTTACTAGTGATGTTTCTGACCCATACCAAACGTTAAAACATGCCATCTTTAACCGCAGTGATCTAACCGATCGACAAAGGTTAGACCAACTCCTTAACAACATCGACCAGCAACACGGCTCTGCCACAGACATGTTGCGAAGAATGAGAGAAGTTATTGGCCAAAGAACCTTCGATGATGGCCTACTGAAACAGCTTTTCTTATCAAAACTTCCTCAACAGGTGCAAGCTGTGCTGGTCTCGTTCCAAAACAACGCCGTAGACGAGCTGTCTGCACCTGCCCACCGCATTCTCGAAATCACTAGGTCTTCTAACGCCGAGGTTTTTTCAGTCAAAGAAAAGCCTCAAACCACCCGGAATGACATAAGAGAATTATGTTATACACTTATTCGTTATCTCAAACTCCGTAACGACCGTAAACGGTCACTTACCCCGCGAAGATGAACATCACGTAGGCGGTCTGTATCTAGACCTCGAGAGACGGATAATCCTGACTGGTGCTGGTATTATAACCAGTATGGAAAGTCCGCTAGAAATTGCAGAAAACCCTGCAATTTTCCCAACGCAAAATCGGTCGACGCGAAGAATGTTTCGGGAAACTTCCAAGCCGGCACGCGTTAACGGCAACCGTAGCCGGCGAACATAGCCGTCTTTTATATGTCACTGATGTGATAACGACAGTTCGCTACCTCGTTGATACTGGCGCAAAAGTTAGCGTTCTTCCAGCAAATTCCAACACCGGCTTCACGAGTCGGTTTTAAATCTACAGGCTGCAAACGAAAAGCCTATCGCTACGTATGGCAAAAGGTATGTTTGTCTTAACGTGGGTTTACGCAAACCCATTCACTGGATCTTTGTTGTTGCGGATGTTTCTATGCCAATCATTGGTATGGACCTTCTACAGCACCACAACTTAATCATCGATACGCTCAAACGGAGGCTAGTAGATGGAAATACTAGTTTATCTGTTTGTCTGATTTTTTTTCTGCTTGCAGGTTATCTCCTGTCACTATTAAGCACACTATAGACCCCTTCTACCAACCACTACTCGATAAGTATTCTGGCATTTACCAATCGCAACCGAAATTGTCGTGTGTAATCAGCAACGTTACACATCACATCACGACTACAGGACCATCTGTATTCTCTAAAGCACGCCGACTGGCCCCCGAGAAGTTAAGGTTGGCGAAAAACGAATTCGACCATATGATAGACTTAGGAATTATACGACCGTCAAATAGCCCATTGGCATCTCCGTTGCACATGGTCCCTAAAAAGGACAGCAACGATTGGCGTCCAACTGTTTATTGTCGGCGATTGAATGCAAAAGCCATTCCCGATCATTACCCGTTGCCCCACATTCACGATTTGACAGTTACCTTGAAAGGTACAACTGTCTTTTCAAAAATCGACTTGGTTAAAGCGTATAACCAAATTCCTATGGCCACCGACGACATTCCAAAAACCGCTATTATAACGCTCTTCGGACTCTATGAATTTTTGCGAATGCCTTTCGGTCTGAGAAACGCGGCACAGACTTTCCAAAGGTTCATAGATGACGTTTTTCGAGGTCTCAAATTCGTACATGCGTATGTTAATGACTGCCTAATAGCAAGTCCGGACAGAGAATCACATCTCTAGCACCTGGACCTTGTTTTCGACCGACTAAAAAATGGCATTACTGTAAACATTTAGAAATGCCAAATAGGAAGCGACTCCTTAGACTTCTTAGGACACACTATCGATGCGTAAGGCATCCGACCCCTTAGAAATAAAGTGGCGGCCATTCTGGATTACCCAGAACCGACCACCATCAAGCGATTGCGCACGTTTAACGGTCTAGTAAGTTTTATAGACGATTTATACCAAAATGCGCGTCCCTTATGCAACCTCTTACCGACCAACTTCGTGGAAATGCGAAATTCATCAGTCTGGATGACACCGCGCGAAAAGCATTTTCCACGGTTAAAGAACGTATCGCTCAATCAACTATGCTTGCTCATCAGGACCCTAAAGCGCCCATTAGCATCGCAGTAGACGCATCCGACTCAGCAATCGGAGCAGTCTTACAACAATGGGTTAACCACTCCTGACAACCTTTGGTATTTTTCTCTAGACGGTTGCTAGACACTGAATCGAGGTACGGCACATTCGGTAGGGAACTCCTAGCTATGTATTGTACTGTCCGACATTTTCAACACTATATCGAAGGCTGTGAATTCACCATTTTTACCGATCATAAACCTCTTACCTTCTCTTTAAGCTCATCTTCAGACAAGTACTCACCACGTGAGTCGACGACTGGACTACATTTCGCAGTTTACTTCAGATATTCGACACATTTCTGGAGCAAAAATGTAGTTGCAGACGCCTTGTCTCGTATAAATTCCTTGAACAGTTTCCAAGGAATCGACCTTTTAAAACTCGCCCAACTTCAAAAAGAAGACAGTGATCTTCGGCACGAGTTGTCCTGAACAACACTTAAACTGCGCATTAAACAAATGGGAACAGGTGAGGAAACCTTACTTTGCGACACATCTACAAGTAGGGATCGCCCAATCGTGCCGAAACAATATCGACGCAACGTCTTCAATACGTTGCACAGACTCTCTCATTCAGGTGTATTTCGAAGGAAATCCTATTCACGTCGATTTTCCTTCAATACAATTGCACGACACAACTCCTGCCCTTATAATACCTCAATCGACAGCCGACACACACGTTGATACTTCGGCGGTATCAGAAAATAAACTCAAAACAACGCGTTCTGGGAGAAGAGTAAGATTTCCAGAACATTTGAACGATTACTGCGCATAAGATACACGTTTACATTTTATATCATCTCGATTTTCCCTCGTACTATATATAAATTTTTTTAAAAAAACACGAATTTAAGATGCTTATATGTTTTTATCTTTTATTCCAAAAAAAAGAAATCAAAACAAAAAAAACGATGTTATAAAAATACTTTTTTTAACGCTATTACGTGAGCATGAGCTTATTTTCCATTTTTTTCGCTCGCTTTGTGTTTTTACGCACGTACGAGTGTATTTCGACATGCACTTACATATATTTTTTCTTTTCCAGGACGACTGGAAAAGACGATAAAAAGAACAATGAAGTTTGCGAGAAACGGAAATCTTCATTGTACCTTTTCCTTTTTTTACTATATTGTACATCATGGTCCATTATAGTAAGGAAAGACGACCAGACGCTGCTAAACCTAGCAAGCTATCAGAAGAGTGTTTACCAACGAAAACCTCGTTGGGTTTAAACTTCTGGCTGGCCACGTCTTAGGGTCATCACTGCCCCACTAGAGGGGGGAGTGATCTGTATCGGTAAATAAATCCCCAAAATAAATAGCTCTGTAAGTTTTCGACATTGGATGCTGATCACATCAGTTTTAATGGACTCGTCTAACTGAAGGCGCTCGGTCAAGCATCCGCACCAGATCACGTGTGGGAACGCCGTGCTCAACATCTGCCGCAATCGCTAGCCAGATTAGTTCAAACGATCCTCGATATATTGATAGCTTATCAAATATATCTTCCATCTCCTCACTTCTGTCTTTTGATTTCACTTGGTGGGTACGCTTCATATTAGAAGGTGTTACTGGTTAAAGCGTTGCCAAACTCCGAATACCTGTGGCATCTTTAACTTAATTAGTTTAGTAGTAATGCTCAAAATACTCAGTACACTCACTATAGGTCAACGAAACTATTGTTACTCACATTCAAGACAACCTTATGGGGAGTATTCCAAACTACTAGTCACTTGAATCTATTCCAATTTACTACTGGAAGAAGTGATAACTTCTATTCGACATTCCATACTGTCTCTGTAATCGTCATCACAATCTCTTTGTTTTTCTGTCGACTTAGTTATTCTCATTGGATCTTAAAGAATACTTATTCTCGAATTTCGGGCTTGTTTGAGAAATTCAAGTCATTTATTAATGTATTCTATTTAAAAAGAGTTGTTCAGCTGATGTGTTCTAATTTTCGTGTATCAGAGTTGTTTTGGATTGCTCTTGTCTTTCCAAGCTGTCCCTTGGTTCTCTTGGTAATGTCCGACACTGGTGGTTAGATAAGCTAGTTTTTATTTTCTTAATACATGAGATGTTTGCAAACCTGTAGTGATAACCTTGTACTGTATTCATAGGAAATGCATGATCAAGAAGCGGAACATTTGAAAAAATTCCAGGAGCTTATTCCTATTCATAGAGTCAGACCTACATTACTTTTGCCTTTGTGGAGCATTGCTGGGTTTACACTTGGTGTGGGAAGTGCGCTTTTAGGTTCAAAATGTGCTATGGCCTGTACCGTCGCTGTCGAGTCAGTGATATCTGAACACTACAATAATCAAATTCGTGAACTTGTTGAAAGTGATCCTGAAACTTATCAGGAATTGCTGCAGGTTAGTTGTTATGTGGATAGTTTACTGTTTGGTTCCATAAATTTGTCGGTGTACAACAGTTTATTTTGATCCTACTTTTCTTGGTGATCAGTTATGAAGCACGTAGAACCTGGCACAAATTTTTATCGATCCGAGTTGCTGCATTCTACATAACACATCAAGAGAGGAAATTAATAAGGAAATAAAGAAAGGTGAGAAGAAATGTCGAATTCAATGTAAAGCTACATGGTAGATACATGATTTAAAAGGGACCGATAAAAGTTTTGAGTGTGGAAAAACGTAGTATTAAAGATCTAGAAAAAAATAGGTAATAAATTCAAGTGCACCATTCTAACCTATTTCATCCAACCATAGGTTACGATCTTTATAGATCCTGACTTGAATTTTTACATCCACTGACATGATGCAGTCTATCATTCGTTAAATCCATGATCCATTCCCGTATCTTTGTTTAGCTGGTGGTAGCTTTTCCCATTGTGCATCGTGGTAGGTTGTGGTATGACACTAACAACGTTCCAACCAGCTAAGTGTGAATTGGATAATCCAGTCAACCGGCTTACTATCCCTACCTAACATTTTATACTTAACTAGATATTGTAACAACTGATCTCATGCTTGTTAAATTTTTGTCCGTACACCATATTGTCTAATCTCTTCACCTTCGGAATAGAGTTCGATTATTGTTAACTTGGATATAAAGATTTTTCAAGTATGTTCAAAGCGAAACAAGATAATTTCAAATATATCGTCCTAATTTTGAACATTTAAAAGTCTTGTGTGATTAATTCTTTGTTCCTGGTTTATACTTAATGAAACGCTTCCCGCATTGGTCCTAATTTTTGTTAATTATCAAAAACAACGCATCTGAAAATACAATTTAGTTATCCAAACATTTGCGAAAACTGTCGCCCAGGCTCTAAATCCATAATTAATTTTACAATAGTGTTTAGGGCGGTCACCTTATCTATAGAGGCTCATCTTCGTGACTGAATGGAACAATGGACAAGTTACATTTTCTAAATAGCACTGAAGACTGCCGAAAGCAATATGTAATGATCATACTTTTATGTTTATTTGGAAGCTAACTTTCACCTTTGCAACAAATCGCATCACTTGAAATATATAACAACATTATAAGGACATATAAACGAAAGAAGTAAAACAATAATTATTATTAGTTTTGAAAAAACATATGCAGTCTTTCATTACTAGTTTACTTGTGCTTATTAGGAGCCTAAAATCAACTTAGCATTGACTTCATTGTTATATGTGTAGATTCTGTTTGAGTACATCCAAAGATGATAGTTTGTTGTTTAATTTCTGTTACCGGAACAGGATTTATTAATCACCAGAACCGACACAGCAAATCTGGAGACTCAAGTATGTCAAAAGTCGACCCACATATATCAAATTTTCAATTACAGTAGCGACGACCGTAGAGCCCACAAAATTAACTGCGTACAAACTTTGTTTAAGAGGGCGAGGACACACTTGCAGCCTAGAAAAATGAAAAGAAACTATCTAAAGGCAATCTTCCAAAAGAACAGCTGTCCAATCAACTTCATCAAAAACAACAACGAAACGCATCAGTAAAAACAAAATTAAGTACAGAAACCAACAAACGGATCATCCTACCATATGTAAAAGGCATATCAGAAATTGAAGCGAGATTGTTGAAGCCTTTTGGAATAGGTATAGCTCACAAACCAACAAAATCACTTCAATCAATCTTACGCAAATGAAAGGACAAAAGAAGAAAAACCGAACATCATCTACAAAATAAATTGTTTCAACTGTTAAAAACACTAAATCGGACAAAGGGGACGTTCTCTTCATCTTCGCCTACATGAACATCAATTAGCGGTCAAACGCCGTGACATATCCTCGCTTATATCAATGCCTGTGGACACACATTCGACTGGGAAAATGTTCAGATCTTGCATAGAGGCAATTCTAAAAACACCAGAGAATTTTAGAAGCTTGGCACTCAGGTCAATCAACAAACACATTGAAATCGATCCAATTTATCAATCAATCAGAAAAATTACGGACAAATATAAGAACAAGAATAAAATCGATGGGTGATATAATTAAAATAAAGAGGTAAACAATGACAGGTTAAGGGTCAATAATAACCAATCAAGATCGAAGTCTTCAGGACAAGCTATGAGTCAGATGTGGAGAAATTCAAACACTTTACTTCTACCTGAAGCTTGTGCTGATGATCTCGTTCAGAATAACGATAAAAGCTCCATGACCAAACCATTTAGCTCAGAGAACAAAACTCCTCCAAAATATTTTCTGATGCAAAACATTTAATTGGTCGGTTTACCGCATGGATGTTAATTATTATGTGTCTTTGATCCAAAGACGATTTACAAAACATACAAGTTTCTTCGTATATTTTTCCTTGAAATTTAGTTATTACACACGATAATACTCACCACAAAATATGTAATCTATTTACATATTGTTCCGCCGGCACAATTATTGAGTCACTGGAACTTTGCTTATCCCCTTAGTCATTTACTATGAGTCTGAGCTGCGTTGGTAGTGGCAGGCTATTAAATTATAGCTCGCACTATCAATGGTTGGAGATGTTGGGTGACACAGCTCTTAATTAGTCGCACAGGATGAGATAGATTTCCCTTTTGTTTATTTGCCTTGGGTTTCAAAATTTTTCTTTTTGTTCTATGAATTCTTTCTTCAATCTCAAGTCACATTTTCATTTTTGGAATCTATATATCATGTATCCAAGCCAACTCAATCGATAGATATTTACAACCTTATCAACAGATTAGGTATATTTCCCTAGTATCTTACCTTCCAGTTAAGCATTTCTTACTAACTTGTCTCACTAAACGCGATCGACGCTGCAAAGACACTTGTTATCAATTAATTGTCATCTATTTGTGCTTTATACTTTTATAGACAATGTTATATTGCACAGCTGTAGAATAACACATGACAGAGTGGTACACAGTAAACCCAAATTTCTGATTTAAAGGTGGATATCCCATATCAGTTAGCTGTAAGAAATGTAAAACCTGGAGCATTTGTACGTCAGTCTAAGTTGCTACACCACATCAGTACGTCATGTTCAGAAGACTTTGGTTTTTTACCATCCTTACCAAAAAGAGCTGTCATTTGCGGATTGTAAGTCGATAAGTAAATCTCCCGATGGGAGATTACTCTGTTAAAAGTCAAGCAAAGAAAATGTCTCTAGAAAAATATTTGTGACGAAAGTAAAACGGGGAAATGTTAACGCACTTGAAAAACACCACTTTATGTTACCAATTCGGATGACTATTTGTTGTATGCCCTAACTCGATTAATGGTGTTAAACCAAAGAGCCCTCAGACATCTATACCGAATTTGGACTTTATAGTTTCAAGTAAATTAAGCATTTGGTAGAAAGTTGATAATAATCATCTTTTCCGTGATATTCCAACGAGTAGAAAATTGTATTTCGTTTCCTTTGTACAGCTTAGACTTGTGTTAACTTCATTTCGTTCATCTATTTGCCCTGAAGAAGTGGCTTACATTAAGTCATGAAACGTCAAAAATACAAGTTTATGTTTATTGGGACATCACAAAAATTATATTTATTATTAGCTCTCAGAAATTTTATATAATATTTTGGCACACCTTTCAGTGATAAACCGCCATCAAAGCTCTAGACTAATGAGGTCAGATGTCACTTTTAATTCGAGAAATACTATCACAACCAGTGGTTTGTCCATGTTCCAAAACGTGACCAAGGGTAAAGATTTGGTCAAATATGGACAGCTAATTTGGAACTGGCTTGGTTTTCTGTTGTTTGCTGTCCTTAAACAACATTATAAAGGTAATATTTTAGGCTATTTACTAGTCATACTAATTACTGTAGTTATTATAAGAGCATTTTTGTTCTTATTAGCTGGAGTCCCTTTCCGGGGGCTACTGCCGGTCCCAAGCCCGGATAAAGGAGGAGGGTTGGGCATGGGGTTAGCGACCCCATCCCGTAGAAAACTAACTCGCTAAAAAAACGCTAACCAGAAAAAACTATTCAAACCATTTAAAATCTGCCCTGGGAGTCAGGAGGTCTTCGTTCGTCACAAGACAAGCCCTCATATGGAATCCTCAAGGTCGAAGGAGGAGAGGAAGACCAAAGAATACATTACGCCGGGAAATGGAGATAGATATGAGAAAAATGAACAAGAATTGGATGAAACTAGAAAAGAAGGCCCAGGACAGAGTGGGTTGGAAAATGCTGGTCGGCGGCCTATGCTCCATTTGGAGTAACAGGCGTAAGTAAGTAATCTGTGGTCAACACTAGTCTGATAGGATGACGTTCATGTTCTATACCGATAACAATTACGTAAACTTTCTGTCAGTCTGCATTATGTTTTGTCTGTTCATAGTTAGTCGGGTTTTCTGAAATGAGCTACCGATCCAGTAGAAATTTATACAGTCTACTGATTTGCCTCAATTTTTTGGTTTAAGTCTCCGTTAGACATCATTGCTGCATTTACAGCTGTTTAGTTACCATGCTATAATTCTTTGTGATTGATTAAGTACTTAGTATACACTGCCCCTTCACGTTTGAGCCGGTTTCTGAGGAGTCATCCAGTTGTGACTTTTCTGTATCCAATACAAATCATGCCCTTATTCGACCATAATCTGATTGCGAGCAAGTGCTTCAAAACAGTTTTTTTCTTCGATGATAGCTGATCATAATATAGACTACTTTTGCCCATCTTTGCGTCGATTTTCGAGGTTGACAGGTTAAACAATTTTTCCTATACTTAATCCTGGTTCTTTCTATGAATAAACAATTGTTTCAGGATAATTATACCAGAAGGTCACCAGTGACTGCTTGCTCGACCGAAATCCATAACGACTCACCCTAACGTGTTTTGGTTTAACTTATCCTATTTCCTTGAAAGTTAATGTCACCTGCAACATCCAAGAGCACAGCTTTTTGAAAAATGTATATAATTTTTCTGTAAAGCACTCGTGAAAGGTAATAGATTGTTGTAGTGAGTTGCTCCACTAACCAGTAATTGCTCAGCTGATAAAATTTTGGATTGTTAGTTAGGAAGTCATTTTTGGAATCTGAATGATATTCGGGTTTTCATTTTTTAACTCAGACTTTTATCAGTGTCATAAAAATAATGAGAATTTTAAGAAATTTGGTATGGATGAGTTCAAACCTTTATCCTCCAGGGTTCGAGGCCATGCGTTGATGCTTTGATTGTAAGGTTCAATAGATAAAGATATATTAATTTTTCCCTACTATCGAACTGTGATACGTATGTAAGATGCGGAAATTCTCGCGTTTTAAAAGATTCATTCAAACGAAAGTAGCTTCACTTTTGAAATTATTTTTATACATGGTAGTAATTTCGAACAACAGACCTATTTCCTTTCAAGACTGTAGTTCACAGCTCCCAGGTTATGGGTAAGCATAATTTTATTTTCCCACTTTGCGTTATTTTAAATACTCATTGGTAAAGTATCATAATATATATTTTAATTGATTTTGTATGTTTCTAGACATTAGCCCAGTTTCGGGATGAAGAAATGGAGCATCATGATACAGGCCTTGAACATGATGCTGAACAGGTAAGTTATTATGAATGTATAATTTAAAGATAAAATTAAAAATAGTCTACTTTATTATACACTATGTATAGTGTAGAGAGTAAATATTTTTAACTTGATGGTTAAACAGGTAATGCTGCAGTTTAATGTCTTAATTATGTCTGTCGTTTACTTGTTCTGTAGTATTAACATCTTGTGTGGTTTTCGATAACCTATGAACCTAAAGCTTTGACTAAGTAATTCAAATTTCGAAATCTTTAAATAAAGATTCATCATGGTAAAATTTAGTTTAATCTCCTTTCTACATTATTATGAATCATTCTCTTTCACACATCTATACATCACAGGCCGGTATGAATAGTTCCTGTGTCGCATGTGTCGTTTGTCTGTTAATTCAACAGTAAAATAATGATATGCTTAGATAGTATTTTGAAAAGACGAAGTATATTAGATTTATACGATTTTTTATACAGTAATATTTAGTTCCTTTTTTTCTATTAAAAATTATCGTTTTCATTGGGTCAAAAATGTTTTTTGGTGTTATCAACAACCATGAGTAAAACTTAGTTGATATTTAGTGTTTTTATGAAGCACTATAATTTGATGATCACATCAGTTATACAGTGTATAATTGGGAATATATTCAACATAATTAAATAAATAGAACTCATTGGATGACTCAGCTAACACTTATTTTTTATTTTGTCTAAGTGCTTACAAGTATGTTTCGGATAAATCAAAAATTAGCAGTAAGGTGTTTCCTTCGATCTCTGAGATCACATTAGCCTCACTATCATATTTTTATTTCTAAACCTGGAGTAAGGCAAGAATAAGATATTGAACGAAATCATGTAAATTTGTTGAAAATTAGTCCTTATCAATTCATGCTCAGGGTAAATAGCTTATTGTCTTTCAACCCTCATTCATCTGTCATGCAGTCAATAATTTTACAGTTACTTCCGACTAGTTATTAAATTAATGGTATTAAATCTCAAGATTATCCACTTTTTGTTAGGTTAAATATCTTATTTTGTACCTTTTAATGAAGTAACTGTCTTTCTTCATATTACACAACAAACAAAATCGTCTGTTGACATTATTTATTGATTTATATCCAACTTGATTATGTTAGTACATTATTGGGTGGTTGTAGAGACAACGAATTCTTAATCATATGGTTTAGCCTTATCTAAGTAAGGCACAGAATGTACAGTTTTCATATGCACGTGAAGTTGTAGACAAATTCAATCTAGAGTGAAAAATATCTGTTTAAAACTCTTATGTATATGGTAGTAGGACATAAAGACTATATCACAGTATTACTACAGTAAAACCATTTAGATGTAATTAAATAACAAAAACAGCTATACAGCATGAATAAAAGGGGTTAAATGATAAGACTAATGATCAAATTATTTTTGGTTAACGTGGATTGACTTCATAGAAAAGTTCTAGTGTTATGTAAAAACTAGTCTGATAACCATCCAACAAAATGTTTGACAGACTAACTAAAGGGTTTCGATTTGGAATTTATAGATTTTTTGACATTTTTCTTAATTGCTAAGTTTAGTCTTGCTTAAGATGTTTTCAGACACTCAATTATTTCCTAAATGACAGCTCATACTTAGCATAGTTACCTCTTTAATTTAATCTCTTTTTAGGATTTGAACTGTACTCTTGTCATGTTGTCTTACGATCTTTTATTTTATTGCAGGTTCCGTTCTACAATATCATGTCTCAAATAATAAAAGCGGGTTGTCGAGCAAGTATTTTTTTGGCTGAACGTATTTGATAAGAAAATCAGTTTCAAAAATAGTTACTATGTCCATTTACTCTCTAAATTTCGTGTTCTCACTTTATCACATGTAATGTAAATTTTTTTTATACATTTTGATTCTTGCGTAATATTTTGGTTTATTTATATACATTATAACTGTTTGTCATCATTCTTTATTGGTAGGGAATTCAATTTAGCCTTAAGAAAATTCATGAATTATTGTACGTTGGTTTTTGTCATTAAACACCCCATAATTCATTCATTATTATGTTGTGTGATTTATGTTAGGCAAAGCAAATATCTGAACTAAATAATTCATCTGTAATTAAATACTTCATGTAGTTTTCAGCTGAAAACTGTTAGCTTTCATATAAATGTTCTAGGTATTATTAATTGAAGCTAAACCGATTATCATGATTCTAATGAAAATTTTACATAAATTATTTAGTGATGGTGACCTATCTATTCAGCGATATATTCCCAGTACGTTAGGGAATTCGACAGTGGGATACTTCGACATTTTTCTTTCGTTTGTTTAAACTACATACATTTGCATATAATAACTAAAAATGACTATTAAAAGGCTTATAATGGTTGTTACTGGTTACATATCTTCAATCGCAAAGATTGTTCGCTGATTTTATTTTACGGAATATACGTCGCGAAATATATGTGCCGAATAAGATGTCGTAGAGATCTTGTTCTTCCACATTTCAGACAATGGCTAACCTTAATTGTAGCACACGATCTATATATAATCAATTAGCACTTACTAGTTTGCAGAACTTCAAATAATTATCTACAAACTTATGTTAAGGATGATAAAATTGTGGCCCATTTCTTTACATTTATACGAAAGGATGCCTACAGCTTGCTAAAAACTAACATTTCCAGATAAACATATTTCACTTCCCTACGCAACTCTCAAAGAACCACTACTAAATTATATGAAGTGTACTAATTTTGAATACCGCAAAAGAGTACAGTTTCATAAAATGATTCGTCAGGACAAGTAAAACTTTAAAAAGTTGATCCTCGGATTACAGAAACAAGTCAAATGTGTGGTCTATTAGTCGCAGTAATTAACATATCAATTATGGACACAGAGCTTATACTAATGCCACAGTGTTCCTTTTAACATTCCGGAACTGCATGTATTTATTATGAGGAAGAGCATGAAACTGACTCTCAAGTTATAGTTAGTTTCACTACATTATTTAGTTGTCCTAATCCGATGCACACTCAGGGTCATAAGGGCTGGTGATTAATTAGTAATAATCCCGATTCTCCTGAAAACATGGGAAACGATTCATTGAAGAACTGGAAAGCAGTAAACAAAAGTGGGCGAAAGCTAGGTAAATATCATGTGAAAAACTTCGTACGCGTAATTCATGGACGTTTCGTCATGGTGATTGCTACACGTGTGTCGTAAAATCAGACGCATCACGTCGGGTTCTAGAACCAGGATGATAAGACATTTAATTCGGATTTGATTGAGTTCCGTGGTTCTAATAATCACACACTATCTTTATTTACAACTTCGATTAATTTTCCCACGCTCGGTGCTCTTCATGATGCTGACTCTAGTAGTATCAAATCAATCATTTCAACCGGAAAGTTGAAATCATTAAATTTGAATACTATGATTAAACTTACTAGAATTTCTGTCTCGAGCATTGCTGGTGATAAACTTATTCTTTGGTGTTAATAATAACAAAATCGCTTTAATAAAAATGTGTCCGTCCGAACATGGAACGTTTACAGTCTTCTGAGGCTAAGTGTCATCAAGTAACTGATCTTTAACGACCCAAAATATTGATAAGTCTTTCTTGTGAATGCAAATAAAATCAGTTAACTGTGTTACAAGGACCCAAGTGAGTTTTTTTTTCATTTTAATACTAATGGTTACATTCTAGATCATACATGTTCTACACCCAGTACACAGCCGAACAGACAAATGATGGACGTACGGAGAATACATCTAGCAGTTCGTATATCACTGGATTCTCATTCAAGTTAAGTCTATTGTGATATTTGTACTAATTGATTGCACACTTATTACGAATGCCAAATATAAGGTGTTTATTTGTGCTCATCTAGTTCTACCTATCTTAAGTGGGACTGTTCTTAGTTAGCATATCATTTTGAATACTGCTGACCACATTCGTACCTAACTCCAATGCTAAATTCGATTAAAGATACCCCAAGTATTCAGAGTTTGAGAACACTATGTCCAGTAACACCTTTTATAGTCGAAACGTGCCAACCTATTGGAATCAGAAGTGAAGGGGTCCAGAGATATGTTTGGTTAAATATCCTTATATCGAGAAATGACTAATCCCAGCTGGCTAACGGTTGTATATGTGCAACACAACGTACCCAATCGTGATCTGGTGCGGATACGTAACCGAGCGCCTTCTGTTAGGTGAATCCATTAGAAATAATGCGGTAGGTATCAACTACCGAAGACCCATAGAGGTATTGATTTCTGGGATTTATTTACCGCTACATGATTAGTGAAAAGTGGTGATTGTGCCTTTAAGTTGGTTCACGGATATGTACAAGCGTATACCGTTTATACTTCAAAACCCGACTAGTTCACTTAAATCAGCTATGATCACGATATCTGCGCAATGTAAAACCTTGAGATTCATGATATATCAGTTGGACTCACTCCTGATTCTCTGAAAGATACAATGTTGTAGGTTAAGAAAACAGGTCACTGTTCATGCCAGTCCCTCATCATCATGTCGAAATCATCTAATCTAAAGACACATAAGCGTCTGTTAATTGATATCAAACCAACTAGTCCTTTATTTTGCTCTTTTGTTTATTACAACACAAACAGTACAAACTGAATGTCAGTGTTAAAATGTCCTCGAGTGCTTAGAACTTCAGTAAAATAGTGAGTGCAATCCCCAGATATACAGTATACCCTAATATTTGGATTTACAAAAGACGTAGTCAAACTTGTCTGTGGCTCAATCAGCATAAATCTGCAAACGCTGGAAGAGGTCGTTTAAATGACATATGTGGCTTTAGAAGTATATGTATTGTTATATTTTTTTAAATGGAAACATTCAATAAATCTACCAGAGACCTGTGCCTCCCTAAACAGGGTAGAACATTTGACAAATACGAGCTGCCGAGGAAGTTGAAGAACAAAATTACACAAGAAATGGATAGAAAAGCTGAGGCAAAGTGAAACACGTGCGTTCCTAAAGGCGTTCCTGTATCTGTCGTTGGTTTGGTTGTCAACGGAGTTTATAATTATCTGTTCGCGCTGAGGATTAATTAACCGGTGCCCATTCTTGCATTGAAGTTGGTAGGAAGATAGTGTAAAGCAGGATGATGAGAGGTACGCTTGATATTTATTTCTGACATTAATATTTGGACTTTTGTTGGACCTAAGCATCTGAAGATGTTTTCAATTTTAAATGATTGTTGTTGGTAACTGCCACCACTAAACTTTGCATCCTGTACGATGGTTCATTCCTTTCGACCTCAAAACGTGGCTGCGACGGTTTTGTAAATTAGTGGTGTTGGTCGTCAGTAAGAACAATCCTGCCAGAGGCAAACTAAGCTGAGTAAACAAAGCAGTTGGTTTCTTTTATTTATTAATGGGATATTTCTGTGTTGTTTGTGATGCTATGCGAGAACTCATGTAGATACGGGTGGTTCTTTTGAAGAAGCACTTCCTGGGCGCAAAAGTGACCAAGGGTTTGTCGCCACAAGATAGTTTAGAAAGGTGATCGAAATAGTTTTACTACACTCACTTCTTCAGGACCTTGAAACTTACATACAACGCATTACGATCTTCAGAATAATAAGTATCAAAATATTTCCAGTGATATCGAAGAGATCTTGAGGCCCAAATTCAAATATTCGGAGATTCACAAAGTGTGTGGTTATTACTAATGATATTAACATTTTCTATGAAGAGCAGAACAAACACCTGTGGAAAAATCAATGAAATTTAAAACGTATTCCTGAGATATGAATCGATCTTCGTTTAACAGTCTCCAAGTGTTGATGACCTAAATTGCTTGGTCTCATGGGGGCATTATAATTTACCGCAGAAGAAATAAACATCAAAAGACTTACTAGAAAGTTAGTTTAGTATTGTTGTGAGAAGCATGTCCCTAGTGAAAGTGATTATTTCTTACTTCTGCATTCCGGGTAGCTGTTAATATACGAGTATATACTTTAGTCAATTTAAATGTCTAAAAAGTAGATATCCTGGCTTGTAAGAAGAAGGAATATGATTTATTTTACTAGGTTGGCTGTTCTGATCTATTACGGTTAATCGGACACGATGCGGCCGCGTAATGAATGTTAATTGGCATATCAACGACATTTCTGAAGACTATCTACTTCATATGAACCCGTGAAGATAATGCGAAGTCTTACGAGTAAAGTGGCATATAATGTGCAAAGATGAGAGCACAAAGCATAAGCGATAACGCATGGACCGAGTCATGAGGCTTATTTCCCAGTCTGTAGTCAGCCTTTATTATTTTACACCGCTTCAACGGAGAACAAACTATGATAATAAGAAGTATTTGAATTATAGTATGAACTAAGAATCCCAGAAATAACGCAATTGAATCAAGAAGTACTACACAAGCACTAACGGATGTACTGTATTTAGAATTCGAAATCAAACATTCAACAAGTACAAAGGAGTCATTAGTTCATTCAAACACCACATCCGCCACAGCTTAAATTGGAGTCCAGGTGTCTGTAATTGATTGTACGTCTTCTTCCTAAGTTCATCCTGTGTCTGTCCAAAAGTGTATTCGATAAAGACTCTGTATTATCTAGGATGCACTCATTAGTATTAGAATTAACAACGGAAATCGGAACAGACTCACTTGATTTCTGGGATTGTAAACAATCACCATGCCGGTTGAATACTGGAACTACTACCTAGGATATGAACCATAGACTATCCTCCTCCACGAAATAATGTCGGATCTTCATATCCCCAAGTTATGAATAATGTGGCTCCATTT